TCCCCCCTTCCCCCCGAGCCCTCCTTCCCCCCCCCCCCCCCACCCCTTCCACACCAACCTCACATTTTCCTATTTTGTTGTCTTTTTTTGTTCTTCTCAAAAAAAAAGAAATGGAAAAGAAAAGTATATCATTTGCTGCTGCTGCTATCTCTTCAGAAGAGGTGACGTCTATCGAATTTTTCCTATTTTTCTTGTAATTTTAAATTGGATACAAAACAATTTGTTATGTGTTTGAAAGCAAAAGATTGACTAACTCTCATATCACACAAAACTTTCTTTTCCTAAGCAAAAAAACAAAACATTATCGTGAAATGGATAGTTAGTCGAAGAACCTGTAAAGTTATTTTTGATTTTCATGAGTTTTCACGTTGCTTCTTCTTCTTCTTTAACTTCTTCTTCTTCTTCTTTTACAGCGTCATCATCCACTGCTTCGACTTGTTACATCATTCTATATTCCATGAATTCTTCAATTTCATATTCGAGCAACTCAAATTCTTCCTTTTTTCTTCTTTTCTTTCATAGATTTACCTCTTTCTACATTCGTCCACTTCTCTCTCTCTTTCTCTTTCTTATAAAACCCTTCCTGCCGTCTCCCCCCCCCCCTTCCTACCACCCTACTTAATAAGCTTTTATGGGCTTAATTCTCAACTTCATACTAATCTTTGCTCCTAACATTCGAGTATAAAAGTTTTTTTTTCTTCTTCTTCTTAACAATTTCCATTAATGAAATGAAAAATGAGTTCTTTTTCCAGTTTTTTTACTATTTTAAGCTCTCAAGTTTGTAACTTTCATTGGCCCTTATATGACATTCTGTTCTATAAAATTCATTTTAATGTTTTTCTCCATCGACTTCGTCTCCTTCGTTAGTCGTTGTTGCTTTATTGTACTTTTCCTTTTTCCAGAAGTTTCTGATAAAATTTCACAATGTTCGTACTAATTCCATAGTCATATGAACCCTTCTAGGGATAGAGAGAGAGTGAGGGAGAGAGAAGAAGAAGAGAGAAAGAAAGAGAGAAGAGACTCTCTGCAAGCTTCCGTCCAAATACTTGAAGTTGATTGTTGTTTGCTTTTGGTCTGTTCAGCTTTGGTGCCACCACCAGACTCCTCCGTCTTCAGCTGTTTGCTGTTGCTTCTTCTTAAAAACTCCAGCATAGTGGCAGTTTAATAATTCGTACGCCAATAGTTATTTGAAAAAAAAAGAAATTATGCTCGTCATCCTGTGACAACAAAACTTTTTTATTCTTTTAACGCCTCTTCCTCATCTGTCTCTCTCCCTCTCTTTCATTCTCACTCATCTCATTCATCCTCTACCCCTCTTCGTACTTTTCTCCTCTATCCTTTCTCTCTCATTATTTTTCACTATTTTACAAACGTGTAATTTGATCACCGACAATAAGAATTTACAGCAAATGACTGGACGGTAGAAGTATCTACTCTCTTGGCTCTATTAAGCCTTTTCTTTCTCTATTGCTCTCATTTCTCAATTTGGGGATCATGACAAGTGTATGGTGGGATTTAGCTATTTCTGGAGTCAATCATTCGATTATTGGAAACGGTGGAGATGATTGTTTGAATGTAAGAATTTAATGAAAACTAGATGAAAGAAAAATAAAACACAATAGAAGTAACTTTAATGCGAATTAATTTTCGAATCAACACAACCGCTCATTAGCGTTTCCAAATTGAAAATACAATTGCGCGGGCGTTAATGACGTACATACATATTATCAAATCAAAGGCATATATGAATATATGCTAATTAATGATATCTATTTTCTATGATAACTGCTTGCAGTATGTGCCCGGATGGCAGCGAACATTAGAAACGTTACTATTTGTGCCATTAGCAATATGGATGGCAACAATATCATTTCCACATTTGGATTGTTCATTTACTCACCGCCCACGTGATTATTCACGTTATACAGTATTGACAATTTATAGCTTGATATTCGGTGCAGAGTTAGCATTCAAAATGATATCCAAGTAAGTCAAACAACTTCCATTTTCTAATTTTAAAATTGATGCGAAAAAAACATTTTTTTTCTCATTTTCTGGTTGTATGTGTCTGTGTGTATATATATCTTAAAAAGCAAAAATTCAAATGAGCTTAAATGACATGACGCTTGCTTGCTTGCTGACGTTGAAGGAAACACAAAATGTAAAAAGATTATTTTAAGAACTGGTATATTTCTGTTAAATCCGTGTCATGTAACGACGACTATGCAACTGATTCTCCTTTCCAAAGATGCAAATGATAAGTATGTCTTAATATTTAAGAATAAAAATATATTTTTTTTATAACAAGCGTCACATATAACATATAACATATATAAAAACTAAATTTATGTTTTATTTTTCTTGCAGACGAGTGTGTTTCCTCTTCCGACTTCATCTCTATTTTGTTCCCGGGGCCTTCTTCGCATTAGCTTTTCCCATATTAAATACTAGAATGGTATGAGCATTATTTTAAAAAATTTTTTTGAAAGCAACACACAGAGAGAAAGAGAGAGAGAGACCGAGAGGAGAGGAAAAAAAAACTTTTTTTTCTTATTTTCAGCTGCCTGGTGAGGTTTTTATTTATTATGCTCAACATATAGCAATTATCCTGATACCTATTTATCTAATGTATTTAAAAGGTATAATTTATATTATATTTATAAACATAATAATAAAGTACATATTGTATAGGTGCATTTGAGCCTGAAAAAGCACAAGATTTCACCTGGACCATATTTGGCTTATCCATATTTCTTTTTTATCATTTTGCTGTTTTGCAAACAACAGCATTTGTAAGTTATTTTTTTAAATTACTTCTTTATTCCATTTTATATAATTTATAGTATTCACGTGTAAATCTGAATAACATTATGTGTCCGGCAATTTCTGATCCGTTTCAAACACGAGCTTATCGGATAATTGCTGTTGGCCATCAATTTTTGTTAATACCAATCATCTCCAAAACATTTTCTGCAATTGCAACAACCTGTTGTGATATATTGGATGATATCTGGCCGCAGAAGGATGATTAAGAATTTTTTGAAATAATTTTATTATGTAGATTATTATATATACATATATGTATAAATATATAATTATATATAATTATCATTAGATTGTCTGTGATATGTTAAGTTCCAGGAATTGTTTGTGTGCTTCTCTCTTTATGTATAAAACGTCGTCTTAGAATTTTTATATTTTTTTTGTTGTTATGAAACTTTCCTCTTGAAACTTTTATTTTCTTCTTCTCTCTTATTTTTTATCTCTCCCTCTTTCTCTCTATTTTTGTATTGTTTTGATTGAGGGAGAGAGAAGAGGAATAAAACGAAAACAATACAAAAATGGATAACTCTACATGAAAATCACCAGGAAATTTTGGAAAAAAAATTAGTTTCATCTATGGCTGATTAGCCAAAATGAAAATAAATAGAAAATGAGATATCTCACTCTTTCTCCCTCTTAGTCGTTCTATTTCTTTCTTATCTCAATTAAGTAAGGAAGAGAGAGAGATGTGAATGTTGAAAGAGAAAGAGAGAGAGCAAGACAATGTTTTCTTAAAGGAATTGTCGTTTGTGGAAGGTAACAAACGGAATCACAGGCACATGAGGTCATCGAATCTAATAGCCATATATGAGGTGATGTTATATTATAATTAATATAATTAGCAATCGGTAGAAAACATGAAAGAAATGACGAATGCAACGAAATCAAACTGAGCAGCAAGAAAATGGAAAATTATAGAACTCTGAATAGAAATCTCACAAATCATTAGATTAGGTGTGATAATAGAATGAGAGCAGAACGACAGATAACAAAAAACTTGAAAAGTTGGAAATCACTGAAGCGCTGTTCTTGTCATTGGCATAACAATACTTTCTCTCTTTACAAATACATTCTCGAATATCAACTTTCTTGTGAAGTCTGCAAAAATAAACAGATCGTTTCATTAACAATGAAATTAGAACTCACTTCGTGCATGTGTTTTCTGCCTGTTCATCCAACTGTTTACTATTTATGGCTCCGAAGTTTTCAGCACATCCACGCAAAACAAACGACGCACCTGAAGCAAGAAAGGATTCATTTATGAAAATGTAACAAAACAAAAACCTTCATCTTGATCGACTAATGCTAATGTTTGACAATAGCGATGTTTACATGTTTGTTTATGGAGTTTGGAAAAGTTGCGTGCGCTCACGCATTCCGGCGTTGCCACTTCTAGAATACCCATTTACATCTTTCTCTTTTTCTCTTCAAGAATTTTTTAATTAAAAAAATTCTCACCAGTCGGGTATACTGTTCGTCTCAGTTTCAGAAATTCCCGGATCGTTTTTTTCATTGCTGTCGAAAGATGATCTATTGGAGATGTACAATGGTAACACCAGTGTTCTTCCTCTTGAATTACAGAAGAAGTATCTAAAGATGGTTCAGCTGAAAAAACAAGCCATATACGTAGCTTCAGAAGCTTGAAACAAACATAGTAATCGTTGACTTTTCTCGTTTTTCATGGAAAAGCTGCTCGATGATCTGAGACGCATGGCATTTTCTCTAAAAATAAGAATCTTGAGAAGAATATTCGAATAAAAGATGAATAACCTTTGTTGTTTTAACTGTTGTGATCTCATTTCTAACTCGAATCGTTTCTCCTCTTCTTCCATTATCTGAAGGAAAGCTTTCAATAAAATTTTATTTGTTGGAGAAAATAACAAAATAGAGATTGGAATTGGTTACCTCCAACCGGTTTCTTCCTTTAACAGAAATGTGTCAAAAGCAGAATTACAAAAATAAATGGAAATACAAATATGTATTGTCATCATAAGATTTAGAATTTTGTCGTCAACGTTCTTTTGGTCATGTTTTCATCACAGAAAATAAAACAGAGAGGGAAGTAAAATAAATTTAAAAAAAAAACATTTTTAAACTCACCATAGATATACGTTGAGCCTCATCCTGCTCAGTCCACTGTATTGATGGCGACGAATTGACTATTTGGTTACAGTAAGGTAGAATAACAAGAAATACAATATATACTTTTTTGAGCATACTGTTTCAGAGCACCAAGTTTGTTACAAAAGTCAAGTGTTAAATCCTATTACCAGTTAGTGCAATGGATGAACTGTAACACAGCTGAAGGAACGACCGTCAACTGTGTTGTTGACTGTCCCCTTCAATCAATATGTAACTCGTTGTCCCTCCTCTCTTCCTCATGACCATACATGGAAATTGTCGAGCGGTCGACCAGTTGCCGACAGAACGATGCTCTGTGCGTCTGTTCCTCTTCTGTATTTCAACTGTCTTGATGACCTTCAGACGAGAATCTGGGAACGACCGTGAGCTAGGTAGAGGACATATAACCTCAAGTCCAATCTTTCCTCACCCTTTATCTAACTTTTCATGCAAATCTTACGTGTGAATATGCTAATTATAAGTTCAACATATTCTTAATGTGACATCTTTCCATATGGTTTCATATGTCAGCAAGAAACATAGATAACAAGATGAATTACCGCGAGAAGAGAATAATCTGATTCAGTAGATGTCATCTCTTCTGGCTCCTGATTTCTCTCTGTTACCCCGAAATATATTCAATAATCATGCAAAAATTTATTTCTTCTGCTACTCGATTTACTTATTTAAAGCGGATGAAGCGTTTCATACTTCGGTCTCGTAATATATACTGTTAAGGATACTCTGCACTATATAATAAGTGTTGGAAAAAACTATATTTTTACTTGAGAATTGAGAATCAAACCTTGACTACTTTCAAGAATTCATTTGATCACCATCTCGGAACGGAATTGATGGCGTTAATTATTTCGCGTCACAAGATGGTAACGATTGATATTTGCTAGTCTTTTCCACGTTCGGGCGTTACCACAAAAGGACTATTCCTTTTCAATCATAACTACTACTAATTTACATTCAATTTCTATTACATACACATGTACGTATACTCCTATTTCATACCAATTATCTTAATATGAAACAACATTTCATTGAACTCATAGCAAAATTTCTGTCATTATCTCTCATGTTCGCAAATGGATTCCGACTATCTGTCTTGACATTTGTAGCGTTCGTGGTGTAATGGTCAGCATGGATGCCTTCCAAGCATTCGACGGGGGTTCGATTCCCCCCGAACGCATAGTTTTACGTGTTCTT